GTACTATTAGTTATATTAATAACTTGTTTTATCAGCGTGTTAGCGATATACGATGTATCGACTAACTATATTGTCAAACTTCTACGTATATGCAGTTAGTATTTTCGAGCTTTTTTAGAGCGTAACTGGATTGCGTGAAAGTTGCATGCGGAATAAAGTTAGTGGTAAAAATATCTAATACGTGTGTGCAGTTATTTATTTTCAATCATGTTTCAAATCGTAAGTTACATCTACATAAAGAATTGACAATGTTTCAAGTTCTTTTTACGCATTCAAATAATGTATAAATTTTTATTTCTGTATAATCATTTAAAAAGTAGCAGTCTCACTTGCGTTATTGTTATTTATCAGAAATAAATACAACATTTTGGACATAAGTTATTTTTTTTTTTTTTTACGTATTTTTACTAATTAACTATAATTTACGCAAAATCAACCGTATGCGTATAAATGCATACAAATGAATAACATACCGACTGTCCGACATACTTTATGCTATTCATGTTTAACTTTTCAAAGTTCTACTAAACTTTATTTCTCAAAATATTTAAATTTTATCCATCGAGATTCTGCTACAGTACTTTCCAAATTTTAACATATCGCTATCATTATCGTATATGGAGTTTATTCGTATTTCTTTGATTATAGCTGAAGAAAGAAAACGCGGATGTTGCTCCGTTTCCGCCGAAGAAGGTAAGAAATTCCCAACCGAAGGTGCTTGAGCAAAGGCGAGCAGCATTGGAACTGTACATCCAGAAAATGTTAAGGCTCTCAGCCACTAAGCAACAGGTTCTCAATTTTCTGGGTATAGAAAGTCCAACACCTGGCGTGCCGTATAAAAAGTATGTACTCATGCAAGAGAATTTATAAAACTCGTTAACTTTGTGAAATATTATATCATATTAGATATTGTCTTCGTTATTTTGCTACTTTATTTTAGGATCACGTTATTAGATGATTTTATAAGTAATACGGGTTTTCCAATATGTGTAGTAATTATTAGATTGCGAATGTAGTAAACTTGGTCCTAAATATAGAAATGTATTTGATCCTTACAAGAGTTTAACCATGTATTAGTACATTCCGCGACAAAACGATATCACACCCTCTAAATTGAACGTTTCTGCAACTTTTACATAATAATAAATGCATCCAATTTTAATATTCAATGATTTTTGGTGCATCATACATATATATATATAATATTTGATGCGTCTGTTACTATAAAAAGTTGTACAGCAAGTTCTTATTATCCAATTTATATAACAAACGTATTTTTCAACATATTTTTTTTCTTTTCTAAAATTGTATGCCATTTCGAAAATCTCATTGATCGTGGGAAATATTTTTCTGCTTTAGCACGTACAAGGATACGGAGGGAGAACAATACGTCGACACCAGTGCTCTTGGCCATCAACCTGTGCTAACTTTCCATTGTGATCCATATGTTCAGTCGAACATTACATCGAACAGTCTTCCAGATATCGTCATCAGCGGAGTCCTTTTGGGTGTATACAAGTCCTAAGAAGCTTATCCTAAGCTTCTGCTTGTTACAATATCTTTTAAGAAAAGCATAGAAAGGATTACGCGTTTCGTGAAAATCTGCAGCTCTATATTATTATAATTCGGATGAAAATTAGGAAGACAGTTTTTGCTCGTTCCTCCTTATCTCGCCAGAGATAAAAATAAAGCGGTTCCATCCTGTATATATATATATATATATATGTATATACATTAACGCTTCGTTGTCAGGATACGCGACAATGTGTAATCTCTTTCGAAATTCGATCAACGAAGAACGTAAGAGAGAGAGAGAGGAAATGGAGCTTGCATGTGGCGCGATCGCGTTTGTATTAATGTAAAAAGACCGGATTTAAAACTAAGGATTTTATACACATCTATGTAATTAAGGGATTTCACAGAAGAAATATATGCTTTGATATATTTGAATCATCGTCTTGTTTATTTCATCTCATTATTTTCAGAGTTTACATTACTTGTGACATTCATCTTAATTCTATTTAACTTTATCGTACTGGATATCTGGATTGTAAATGTAAATGTAACTCATAAGCGGATCTCTTGCGGTATTCTTTATTCGCATTAATTCGTTTACTACCGTTTACAGTAGATATCACGGACACTCGATAAAAATCCATCGTCGATATACCCGTTAGGTCATTGCTAGATGTATCACGATGGCATTTCCTTCGCGTCGGGGACACAGCGTTTTTCTTTTCCCTGCGAGATGTTTGGCTTCGAGCAACGATTAATGTCGAACGATTTTATAAATATTACCGTGAAAAAAGGACAGGTTTCTTACTGTTTCCAGATAACGATATGCGCTTCTCTTTTTTCCCCTTTATCAATTTTCTTTCTTGTTGTTGCTATTGGTGTTAGACGATTACGCGATAGATTAGCGAGTGATTCATCTAGCGTCTGGTTGATAGAATTATAGCCTCGAGGTTAATTTGTTATTATCATGAAATCGGACCTATCGATTCCCTATCCTTGAATTTCTTCCTGTCGAACGCTAAAGAAGAGTAGACAGACGGGCAGAAGCATGAAACGGGTGAAAACGGTGAATTCAAGCGATGTAATTTGTTTGGTCCACTGGATCGGGCGTGTTTGCGTTGCACTCGACGCGCAGTATTCTCATTCTCGATGTATGTACTCGGGCCTTTGCTGAAAAATAGGAAATCTCTGTTTCTTTCGGTTTCGCGGTCGCGACGTTCCTTTCTCGCGTTTTGTTTTTTTTTTGTTTTTTAGAAAAACTTGAAAAAATGAGTAAACACCGCAAACCGGAGACGCTGTGACAACGGTAGTAACCATGTATGTATGTGTGTATGTATGTATGTATGTATATTGGCGATAGTAGGACCTTGTTTCGTATGTACAATCATACAACGTATTTATGCTGTTACAATTATTACGTTATGATAATAAACTGAACTTCCCAAAAGGTAAACGCCTCGTTTTTCTTCTTTTTTTTTTATATCAAATGTACCGCATTAAATGTGTATGTAATTATATACAAGCTCCTCAGTCTTGTGCGAAGTGTTAGACGATTTTAGGTTCTAGCACTTCCGCCTCGATGAAAACTAATCATGACGAATATTATATTACTTCTCGAATCATTTCTTTTTCTGTCGAACGTTTCGTTTCTTTTCTTTCCTCTTGTTTCGATCGTTCTCCCCGTTGTATTTTCTCGCTATCTCGTTATACGCGATCGTAGTTACCGTATAACGAGCAAACCAGTCGAAAGACGATTTTTTTTTTTTTTTTTCATTTTTCATAATGTGACCTGTGCTTTCGTCACGAGCTGGCGGGATATACAAAATTGATCGTTGAACAGCTTATAATGTTAATAAACGTTACATCGTAATTTAGAAGTTTATTGCCCGTGCGTGGCAGTTTGTTTCATTGAACTTTCGATCGATTCCCATTTTGTCGGTCGATCTCGATTACACTCGTTTTCTTATATATCTTTCTGTAATTCGAAACGAAACGAAGGGAAAATCTAAACGATAGGTACACGCGTATTTATTCGCTAACTATAAAAGAATTATAAAGAAAATAGAGAATAGATGCAGATCTCTTTTCAAAATAAGCAAATACAATCGCTTTATGATTTTCGACGGGTGTGATTTTTATTATTACCAGTACCAATAACGCATCTCTAATATCTAATGAATTACTTATATCATACAAGTCTCGAGGTGTAACTTAGAGAAAAATGGAGCTGTTGGTCGCCATTGAATCGCGGACAGTATAGGTCAACGCATCATTTTACAAGGCAATGTACTCTCAAAACGATATGGTAAAATCATTTCTGTCGTTCATGGATAAAACTTAATAAAAAAAAAAAAAAAAGAAAAAAAGAAAAGAAAACAGTAGCATTAAACGGTAGTAAATAATACTAATGGTAATATGTCAAAGGAGCCGTTATTATCATTTCTATACGTATATACATATATACGTAATACTTATGATTTTTCCAAATGAAATGAGTATTATTGTACAAATCAGAAATTTCATATGCCGTTCCATATGCATACAACTTGCACGCGTGTTTGGATGACGTACAACGTTAACCCTTTATCTGATCATGTCACTCTTAAGCAGCAGTCTTCTTACACCTATATATCTTTCTGGTTGCTTTATTTCGTCGTATCGTTGTTATGTACTATACGTACGTGCATACCGCTGCTCGAATATTTCCATTTATCAAATAAAGGATTAAATGTAGATCATTGTTTCTGGGCGTAACAACAGGCGTACTTTGAGCAACCAACCGTTTTTAATGGTTCGTTCACGCGTCGACTGTTTTATTAACGTTTCTTATCGACACTTGGACGATGACTTAAATAAATAATAAATGCAACGCCCTGAAATGAATACACTTTAAGGATATTATACGCGATGAGACCGAATAATCGTATTATCTGATCTAAACTATTCAAATATCTAAACTATCGTTACTAACATTCAAAGAATCGCCTATTGCTTTCAGAATTCGAAGTGACCGTAATTTTAACGTCACTCCGCAACTTTTCTCCGCTTTCATTGCACAGTGAACGCGCGAACGAAAAGTTCTCGATGGTTTTATAAACCGGTAGAGAACGATATCAGCGATGTTTGCATAGTATAGCTGAAGAACAGCGCGGTTGGATGACTCGTTTTATGTGCCTTTATCGATTACTTCTACGTATATGCCATCGTCTACGTCAACGTGATTCCAGCTACACTCTAACTAATATTAATTAGGGCTACGATACTATGTACAGAAAACGCATTGCATTGGCACAGCAAACATGTGTGCCTGGACTGCCATCCATCGTTTCGACGCGTAGCGTACACCCGTGTACTTAGCTACTCATTCGTCATGCTCTCGTATCTTATCATAGCGAAATAATCGTGACGTATACATTATAAAGATTTTTCCATTCTATTGTAACATTTCCTATCGATTTTCTATTCGAACAATTCTTTTTTTTTTCTCATTCGATTTTATCTTTAGTCCAATGAGAATATCTCTGCCCAACTTCTACAGCTTACTACACTCGCTGTGTTTCGTTTAAAGGTAGTAAGTTATGTTACTGACATCTTTAGCAAAATATTATAGTTTACCATTTTTTTTTTCGAGCCAAAGAAACATCTTCTACACTTTTTTTTTTGCAGTCACTGCTATTTTCTATTGTTGGGCAGATCCGTTTGTACTATACGATACGATTATTTTCGAAATTATATTCGAGCGGTAGCATTTTGGTTTATTTACGAGTCTTTTGCAAAGATACAATCGTTTGATTAATATTTTTTACAGAACGTAAAACTAAATAAAAAAAAAAAAAAAAACAAAACGGCGTCAGCATTCCATGCACGTGGTAAAATCAACTGATCGGTGTTTCCCGGCACCAATCTCCAACGTTCTTTGTGATTAATTATAAAATACAGTAGATTGCGGTGAGATTAGATAGTTTCTAGTACAAACGGTTCACTTATCAAGCATCGTTCTCTATATATATTTATGATATGAAGTTAACCAAGATCTATGCATTTATCGTGTACGTGTTAGTAATTTCTAAAGTCCGAACGAAACAATTAAGCGCGAGTTTTTATTGTTACAATAATCGATGAATGAGAATATTTCGTTTGTAACTATTTAAAAATGACGTTGTGTCAATGAATTATTGTTATCAAAATGGATAGCTTAATATATATGTTTGTCGTGATAATGGTTCCACGACAGATATCTGCCAATGTTGACGATGTTACAAAATGAACGTTGTAAAGAATAGATTACAAAGAGTTTAACTGATCCACGTAATTACGAAGACATATCAACTAATAGTTTTAACCAATAATTACCTCGTTTATCGAGTTTGACCAATCATTTTGATAAAGCATTTCAAGCGGATTATCATAATTGAAAATATCAGTTGTAAAGCCTGACAAGCCTACGTTATGACTTAAGATTTAAGCTTTTAAGAATTACGTATATCTTTTTGTCTCTTTTAATGATGAATTAACGATGAATTATATAATTTTCATGACATAGGATTATCGGAGATCGGAGAAAGCTTGTGGGAACATAAACGTCAGATTATCCGAGAAATTCATCGATTCGGTCGATTTTCGATATATCATTCGTAGCTTCCGTGAATAATATCGAAGGTATTTAAGAGATATGATTTACGTTCGTACAAAAGTGCCTTTTAAATTAATCTTTATTACTTGTTCTAAAGCTTACTGCGCGTTTAGCAGTTTTACTTAATTGCAAGGCATAGTATCGATACGACTTTCCTGGACTCCCAATGGATCGTTCTTCCAACGATCATCTTCGTCATTCATTTTCAGAATATTTTTATCCAAGCCATTGTGTAATATCAAAAGGAAAGGGGATCGTTACAGTATACGGAACGAGGCTACGTGATATAAAAAATAAAGGAATGCTACTTTCACGCACGTTATTCGAATCTACAATAATACTTTGTAAAGGAACAGGCGATCATTAACGAACGAACCATAGAACTTGTCCGGCTTTACGAGGAGTTAACAATTATCGAATATTCTATAATAAACGCAAAACACGATAGACTCAAACTGACATGATTCTAAATTCGCCAATCGTTGCGAGCTTTCATTGATTAATCTCCGAAAAAATCCGACGACCTTAACCTTGACACGCGATATCAAGCTCACTCTCCTGAGTAACCTTGAACAGGTTTAAGCCACCGATCATTGGTTATTAAAAAACTATTAACGAAAAAAAATTGAAAAACCTACCGAAATTTTCTCAGAAATCTGAACTTCTTCGCACCAAGTGTTTTCACATTAGTTATTTATGTTAGTATTGAAATTCACCGCAGAAGGAACTAGGGTCTAACCTAACCTAATTCCGCATTTTCTGAACGTTGGACAAGACACATCATACGTCGTGGATACAAACTTGGTATATTTATATTATTCGCGTTTGTTTATACGCAGAAATGCGATAAATATTTCGCAAATATTTCCGTACTTGGTACGGCAATGTTTAGATTTCTGGGAAAATTAATTTCTTTGTTAATAACCTTTTGATAAATAACGATCGGCGACTTTAAACTTTTGGAGGTTAATCAGAAAGGTGATGGTGGTAACACACGTCAAGCTCAAAGTTATCAGACGTGAATACTTCTTCGGAAGTATTCGTTTGCTGCTTATCAATCGATTGGCAGTCCTGGCTTCTACTTGGAATGTTGTATTTACTTTACCTAATTAATGCGATCGTTATTACGTTCTAACCTAGCGCTAGCGCGTGACGTGTTTCCGGCTTAACAATATGCGTCGGTAAATTTTCGGTGAAGATTTCTTGCGTCGGATGAACGTCGCGTCGATTCGACTTTCAAATGTACAGGAAGGGAAAGAATCGCGGGAGCGTCTACGAACTATGCAGAGAGAAAACGTTCCCGGTTCACTGGAATAACTCGAATACGTCCAAATTATTCGAATCGTTTGAATACTTGACCCATTGCGCGAGATATCGCGGAATCCTTCGAAACTTTCCAACTATGGCAAGGCCGATTTTCTGAGTAAAACGGTCGACTCTCCCCTTACGAATTCGTTTGCCACCCGCAAAATGGATTTCTTCCCTCGATCCCTGGCGCAAACCGCGCGGAAGATTAGCATCGGGTTAACGTCGTTCGAGAATCGGTTTCTGCCTTGTGAATTCGATTTTTCGTTGAGTCAATATTGAAATGTTTGTCACTGTGTGTGCTGATTGTTAATTCGTGACAAAGGGGAACGTTGGTTAGCTAGATTTTTGAAACGTAGACAATAGAAAGTGACAATCGTGTATGTAAACGTTCGGATCAATGTTTGTAACGAATCGACTTGTACGTTCTTCCGTGTAAGAGTCTTCGAATTTCTATGTCACAATCTCGTTTTTGTTTCAGCGTGAAAATTCGTGTGTAAATTTCTTCGAATATATTCCTACATCGAAAGTTTCATTTTCGTCAAATTAAATTGTTTTATGTTAAAAACATCGAATCACTTCTATAAAACTGCGCGTAATAAATCGTACAAATACCATTTACGCGTCACACGTGACTCTTGGCGCGTTTTTATGATCAGTTTCATCTTCTTTTTCCTCGACGTAAAAAATAATCTTATCGTTACGATCTCTCGATTCAAAGTGAACTCGAATATAATGTATAAACGATGAAATGCACATGCTCGGAAATAGGGCTAGCGTGCAAGCGTTTCTGTCTTAAAAATTAAATGAGAGAAATAATAAAAGTAAAAGAAAAACGAGTAGGAAAACATGATCGAGCAAAATCTAGCGTCCCCCAAACAGGGTAAATCTCGTTCTAAGTTTAGCGCGATCAAGTCAATTTTAAACGGAGTAATAATATGTACAATCGTCCTTACAATAACTAATCACGTAAACTCTAATAAAACGCTTTGTATACATGTACATCCATAATATTTTATACATATATATACATACGTATATATATATATATATATCTATATACATATATGTATATATATGTATATTTATATACCTCCTCGATTCCTCTAATTTAGAAATATTATAGCATATAACAATCCGCCAATATGACTTATATAAAAATTATATACATATATAACTTTCAATTTTATATATATATATAATTTCTCATCTCGACACAAGGTACCTAAGTTGGATGTGTTTTTTTTTTCTGTATAATATAAACATCATATTTCGTAAAATATTTTTTTTGCCGAACAATCAGTTGTTAGTCGTTCTTCGTGAAGTCGAACATTAACGAGATCATCGTGGGTGCTCGGCGGAATTTTAATTAAAAAAGATCGCGGACTTTCACAAAGACCGTCGAAAAAAGTGTGTAATTAGCTGCCTTTCTCGTTTAACGCGATTTTTTTCTCATTCGTATAGTATATTTTATCTATGCGGATTAAAAAAAAAAATATATGAATATATATATATATTTTTTGTATATACGTGTATATACATATACATATATACACACGCACATACACACATATATATCTATACACTCGTATATGTATGTATATATGTACATGTGTATGTGTGTCTATATATATAGACATATGCAATAATGGAAATGCGATGTTTACATATACATGTATCAAAGATTCATGCGGCACACGCGTATACATGTATACGTAAACAATATTAATGCGTACCACTGCTGTCCGCGTGACGAGTAGCGTAGCGAATGAATGTTCTCGACCTTGCTTCTAAATGATTTCAACGATAAAAAACAATTTCTACTTATTATGTACACGACTTTCTTCTTTCTTCCAGCACGCAACATCAGACCATTCTCTACGTTGCTCCTTCATTGTATTCAGACCGTGTCTCTCTAATTAATGGCCATTTCAATACGCGTATGTTATAATCTCTATCTAGCATGTGTGTTTGCGTCAAGCTTCCTCATTATTCGAATCGATCGTTTATTATTTCTTCTTTTCCGTGCTATTATTGGTAACGCTCAGTGACAATCAGTGAAAATCGATGTATCTACTTAGAATTCGTCTTACCGTTTCCTTTACTGTTCGAAGCATATCAGAATCGACGTGGCAGTGTTGGTTCATGAGAGCAGCCGGACGTTTGCCCATTGATATTAAAATCGAGGATGAAAAGAGCAGAGCGTACATGTATCCTCTTAACAACATCCGTCAAACGAAAGACGATGATATCTAACGATTTTCCAACCGTCCTAAAAGTCCACGAGTTTCTGAAACATCTCGAATATCCGCTTTTCTTGGCGTCTAAAAGCTGACGGCTAAAACTAATTTTCGCAATCGTTCCATCTTTCTATACCGACATGTTAATTTCACGAAGAACTAGAAAATCGAATCGCTCTACTTTTGCGATATCACGGCCACGTTTCTTGACTTTCTATATTCAGATTCCTCCTTTGTTCTCTTTCCATCTTACTCGATATCTGGGACAAACGTTAGCCGCAGTTTGTTACAGGCGCTCTATCCGCCCTTAAGCTGTAAAGGAAATATGCCCAGTGTTCGCTATTGTGCGCTAGTAAGACCGATTTACGCCATTGTCAAAGACATCTTGCCAAACACGCAAAGACTCCCCTTCTTCTTTCAAGTTTCCTCTCCTCCCGAGCTTTCTTCGAGGATACTTTGTCGTAGAGAACTGTCGTACACGCTACCAAGTTTTCGCTAAGGTGTCGGATAACACGCAGTACCGGCTCTAAGGAATACATACCACCAGCTGAAGCGAATCGCGCGAATGCGTTTATCTGAACCTTTGTCGCGTCCTCCTCTTCATTGATTTTATTATATTATATACTGATTGAACTTGGCGAAAGGAATTCACCGGAACTTTTCCTCCAGTTTCTAGCTTCTTGCAACATTTTCCCACAAAATCAAATCGTTTGGAGAAACGATTAAATTCATTTAAAACTATATCTCTATATATCGCACGATAGAATCTTTATTATCCGAATTTTTATATCTTGAACATTTTTATTATTTGATCGTCTCTTCTACGAAGATGTACTTTGCTCTGCTTTAAATTTGATTAGGGTACAGTATAGCGTAGCGTAGCATAGTAGTACGTATATACACAATTAAAATAAGTTGAAAAACGATCTCCTTTTTAAGACGGTTTCCTTTCTCTAAATACCTTTCTTAATTATACTAATACTTCTACCAGCGGCGAAAAATAAAACGCGAGAGATCATTCTTCTTAATGTTTCACCTAACACTGGAAGAAGAATACCAAATTTAGAAGAAACTCAAATGAAAATTCTGAAATATCTGTGCGATGAAATTACCGATAAAGGAAGATAGAAACTTTCGTATTACTTTTTTTTCTACTTATGTTATAAATATTCCTGTGTATTTTTTCTAAAACGTATAAAAACTATTAGCAGTTCGGGTATCGAAAGTTCTATCTTTCATTTCCACATTTATAAAACTTAAAACCATCTTGACCTCACGGAGGTATCCTGCAGTCAAATGAAGTCATCGATAATCGGATTCGAGCGATTCATTCGCAACGTAGTATCACTTCGTTTATCTTATAGAATAAAAATAAAGAAAAGAAAAAGATACACCTCCACACCTCGCCCGGAACACCGTTAACAGTGATAAATTGATTCGTAACACGTCCCAGCCAAAAATACATAACTTCTCGAAGGCGCCACAACGCGGTAAATGTTTCTTCCTTATTACTTTTCATTTTAATAACCGTACACGTGCTTCAACACCACGATTCTCTCTTGCTAATAACCAATATACTCACAGCACGGCAATAAGTGCACAACAATACTTTGAATAAGTCTTACATAAGTCTCTCTCTCTCTTTCTCTCTCTCTCTCTTTCGCTCTCGCGCGCTCGCTCTCTCTTTCTCTCTCTTTTCATCTTCACCAACTTATCATTGTCCTCTTCCACTATCGAATATTTATTTTTAAACGAAACGCATAAATGAGGCACTTGCCCGAATCTATACCGGCCGCATTCTCCCGTTCCTGTTTTATAAATCAGAAATTTGCCAACAATTAATATACGGAAGGCACGCCTCGTCTCGTGCGAATGCTTGGAACGTCGTTCCATGGCACCACGTTTCTCAAACTTTCACCCTTTCCGGTTGTCTCTTTGAATATTTTCTCTCTCTACGTCTCAACTGTTGGAACTATCTCCAGCTTTGTCTCGAGAATCGTGAACAAAGTGAATCTGATAGACATTGCGCAGCAAGCAACTTTTTCTTCGTGTAAAACGAGTAGTTTGTCTTTTTTGGCGAGTTTTTGTCTACCGGGATTTTCTTGGTTGCTTGTCAACGATCAAGGGGCCATGGGGGCCAAAGTTCGTAGAAGGTAGTTTGAGAAACGAGGATCCAAGCGCTGGACGCTTCGTCTTCGTCCTTAAATCACCGTTCTTAGGTTCTAAGCACCTAAACAGGCCACTGCTACGAACACAGTCTCTCCTCTGATCGTATCACATTACACAGCTACGAGTCGATCCTTTGTCCCATCGTCGTTGTTGCACGGTTATATTCCTTTTTGTGTGGCCTTTCATTTCCCATATCCTTCCATTGCCGTACTGGTGAGAAACGGAAAGGAAGAATTCGAAAATCGATCGAATTCCGTACAAAAATTAGCTCAAGGTGTGGTTGGAGCGTCCGATACACGATGTCGCGCTTAAAGACATCGGAAAGAGCCTGAAGTGATATACCTTAAAAAAATATTTTCAAAGTCCGCGTGTCTCTGTTCTCGCGATACATCTCAGACGATATGACACGTGACACCGGAAGTGGTCTTGCAACGTACACGGTCGGTCTGTACACGATCATGAACGACGACAAAACAGAAATACGTACATATCTCGAGTACACGTTCTCGAGGTATCTCAGGTAACGGCGACACTAAGTTTGCATATAACATCGTGGTCTTCTTTCGTAGTCTCGTTCTCCGTACAAGAACGCATACGGATCAAGATGTTTTCGTGATCACGAAGGATAGTTGCAATAGGAAACGCAAGAGCGATCGTGGAGGAAGAGAACTAACTAAACCGTTGCGAAGCTAATCCGCTCGGTCTTCGGTCCTTCCGATCGAAATCTTTTTTCTCTCGTTCGATCGCGGGACAACGGTGTTCTCCGAGAGTCGTCTTACGTTTCATCACGGGTTATCCAACTCTGTATTCTTCGTTTGAATCCGAAAGGAGACAACTTGCGTCACTTGCGCGCCGTTTCGTACGTCAATCCACGGCGGAAGAACATTGAGCTCGCACCGACGCGTTTCTTTCGACAACTCGAGCTCCTGAACAAACGACTCTCTCCGTCGGCCATCGATCGTGATCTGGGTGGTGGGCTTCGTCTGGCGTCGTACTGATTCCCCACGTACATCATCATGTCGTTAAAGTTCGGCAGGAACTGTGGATTGAACAGCGACAAGATTCTTTCGTTGAGTTCCCTGGGATCGCGAGTGGGTACCATATAATGATCGCGCGTGCTCGATTCGTTGCCGCGATTTAAATCGCTGATTATTCGTTGATGTCCCTGGCAGAGACCATCGAGACTGTTCGCGCTGCTGCTGCTGCTGCTACTGCTGTTGTAATCCTGAAGCTTGTTCACCGATTCCGTTAACGTTGTCTCCGTATACTCTCGCGCGGCGAACTGGTGGTCGTATCTTCTGTCGTAATCGGTCACCTTCGACATCGATCGTGAATCGTAAGGCACCCCCCTGTGGGTGGCAAGGAACTCGAGCGATCTCTCCTCATTGGTCACGCCTTCATAGGCGTCCTCGTCACGTCTGGCCAGATGATCAAGCAGGGAACCGGCGGTGACACGTGCCAACCGATTCTCCTCGTCGACGTTATCCAGATGATCGTCGTTGTCGTCGTCGTCGTTGTCGTCGTCGTCGTCGTCGTCGTCGTTGCGATC